GACTTTTTAAATCTTTGAGGTCTGATTACTTGATAACCTTAGTTTTCTTATACCTTTCACCCTTTCTGCACTCAACACTTAATCTTCCATGGCAAAGCCTCGATTGGATTTCCTGCTTTTCATAGTGCCTTCCCCACCTGAACACTCCAGAGCAAATACCATTTATTAGGAAAGGGGCTTAGCCCCGGACTACATGACTCGTCTCACAAAGTCATATAATATTTCTTTCTGGTAGGCAAACTGTATCAACATATTTTAAAACAGATTTAAGAAGCTATTCCCACTTGTAAATAGAAAGGTTTTCTCGCTCATCAGAAAGATAATATTTGGTTATAAGCTGAATTCCATCTGGCTTCTGATGGTTCACTTCAAAATTCCCCAAACTTCAGAAATTATTTTGGGCTTTTGAAATCATGAAAAAGGTTTCTATTTTTACAAAATATTTCCACCATAAAAAAAAAAGTTCCAAAAAGGAACAATTACTGTATCAGTTATACAAAATAATCACCATATGTGTATTTTAGAAGAAGATGGACTGGCATCATGGGAAAGTTTATTATTTAAAGAAGGAGCGAGATATATTGGGGGGAATTCCCATTAGCACAATAGAAACTATGAAGAATATACTGAGCTTCCATATATGGTGCTGGCCATTCCGCATGTAGGCTACTCAAGCCATTTAAAGTCTTGGCTCCATAAGTGAGTGTTACACTCTTCGGAGTCTTTTTGGGGTTGCTGACATAATGATCCACTCCAGGCTGGGTGCCGCCTGAGCCACCGTGCTCTCCTGCACAGTGTTTGAAGAGTGGGACGGGGTGCAGCTGTGCGGGCCCCCAGACACCTGAGTGCAGAAGATTGCTGAATCTTGCTTCATTTCTGTGCTGTTTGGAAAGCTGGACGCTCCCCAACTCTCTCTTGGGTTTGGCTTCCTGTTCACATGTTTTCTGGTCTCATGTCATTGTGCATGAAGTAATAGTCCCACATGCGAGCACCATCCACAATGGCAAGATTTGTGTGGTTCAGTGCAAGTTTTCTAATGAGGACATTTTGGACCTTCCAGCAACTCCTTAGGGAAAGCAGTTTGGAACTGTTATTACTTTCCAAGGCATTACAAGCACAGACAGAATGCACTTCTGCAACAAGGTGAAAAGCCACTTTTAGGAGAAATTAAAGGACTGCCGAAGAAAACGACACGTTTACCTTACACATCTATCTCCATTTGTGTATATGTGTGTACAGTGTAGAAAAATACCTCCAATTCAGTTTAAAAACATCAGTTACTGTTTCAGCGTTTCACTATGAATGATGCTAGTGTTTTCCACCGAGGACTGTTGTTTTAATGACATTTCTCTGCAGCAAAATCTGATGAGTTTACGAAGTTTGAGAGCCAGGAAATGCAGCTCAGTTTCTGAACAACTGAAAGCCGAGAGAGTTAATTTCAATCATCTACTTACTTTATAGCATGGATTCATAAGTGCTATGGACAACAGCGCTAATACAGACAGAGAAGCCAAACCAAACTTTTAAAGTACTGCTCTTAAACCATCCAACTCAGCTTCCCAGTATATTATCAGCAGGTGAAATTCTACTGCACAACTGCATTTATTTGTGGATGTTAATGTCAAATTAATAGGCATAGGTGCCAATGTTTTATAGAATTTTAGAGCAGAAAGGGGTTTTGGATGTCTCCTAATCTTATCTGTGCATGTTATGAACAGAGAAACTGAGATTCATACGAGCGCTCGCTTTCTTGCTCTCCCACTCCCTCCCCCGCCCCACACACACACGTGTTTGCGCAAGACACGTCTGAGTCTTGTGCCGGGTCGTTGCTTACAGAAAATATCATAAATCTGGCTTAAGAAAAAGGGCAAAATGACCCAGAGCCAGGCCAGTGATGGCCTGCTTCATTCAAGTTTGTGTGGCCCAGCTTCAGCGCCGTGTGGACCAACAATTTCTCCTTGCTTCAGGAACCATTTAAGGTCTTAGATTAGGTGTTTTTGACCAAAACTTGAATAAACTCCAGAACAAACCCGGAATCAAGAGGTAGCTCAGATCCTGATGATGAAGGGGTGCTTCATTGGTGCATCATACTTACTGGCGGCCACATTATGATTAGAGTATGAGATGTAGACGAAGCCCCAGGTATAACCCTCACAATTTAACAATCCTAAAACCCGATCGAGAGATGAGCCCTTCACCCATGTAGGCAAGCAGTGACAACAGTGGGGACTGGATAACTAAATGCTACATTGCGTGGCATGGATTTTTAAGTATTGGAGTGCTGGTGAGAGAAATGAAAATAGAGGTTGTTAGGAAATGTCAGGATTTCAGCTGATCCCAGAGGGGTGCTTAGAATTTGAATAGGTGGGGGGGGAGTAATGGTGGATTTTTCTAGGTAAAGAACAGCAGAAATGAAAGTATAAAGAGGTGGGGGAAGGGGGAGAGGGGGGACCCTGAGGAAGCCAGGCTGGTGGGTACTCTCTTATAGCTTTTCCCAACCTGATCAGTGGACCACCTACCGAGCCCCCAGTAATGCCTTATGTTATTATCTACTAAAACGTTACCGAAATATGTACCCTAAAAAACATAGGTATTAATTACTTGAATTCTGTTTATGTAACTATACACCCGCAATAATAACATTATATTTATATCATTGAAAATCCAAGAGAAATTGCTGATTAAATATGAACAAAACCATAAACCAATAATATTCTCTTTAATGTTAATTTTCTGTGCCAGATGATGCCGTTTTGCTGAAATTAAAGAACAAATTTGTTTTAACCGTGTTCATTCATGAAATTATTAAAAAAGAAACATTTTAATAAAAAATTTCTTTTGCACACTTAGTACTATGCCTATTTATAACAAATTGTTCCAAGAGGTGCATGTGAAGGAGGACAGGATCCAGGCAGTACCTCTGCTGGCGTCCGAGTTATGGAGCGGAGAACCGTGATGGCTCAGCCATCCTATCAGCTTGCTCTGATCTGGCCAATACAACATTACACAGCACCGCCAGAAGCATTTGCCTCTCGTGGGCACATACTTACAGCCAGGTATTCAGGCTGCCTCTGTTCTCCTTCTAATAGCCTACAGCAATTAAATTGTTACATTATAATCCCACACGTTACCAATTTAATGATGACAAATCAGAGCCCTCATTTATAAAATTTATGGAAACTCTGCTCCCGTTCCATGAAAATACCTTTTGATTGCAAATTACCACTGCAAGGGCAGTTGTATCTTTATTACAGGCTAAAAAAAAAAAAAAAAAAAAAAATTAACACACGTAATAACAATGGCCAACGTTTATAGTGTGCTTACAATGGGCCAAAAATCCTTCTAAATTTTTTACTTGGATGCTAACATGTCATCTTCCCATCAACCCTATGGGTTAGATACTATCTTCAATCCCCATTTTTCAGAGGCTTCTGAGGCATAGAGAAATTCAGTAACTCGCTCAAGGTCACATAGCCAGTGAATGCTGTAGCTTGGAATTCAGGCATCCAATTCCAGGGTCTGCTACCCCCAGGAATATATTCAGAATGAGTGCAAAAAGAGTGTTCTTTGGCATTAGGCTATGCCAGCACGACCACAGCCAGATACTTAGAGCTTCACGCTCCCGGGTAAACATTTACTTGGGGAGATCACAAGGTGTCATGCATAATTATAAACATAAACATTTCCATGTCCTCCAGGAACGTATTTAAAAAGTAGACCTCTGTGTGTTGCTTACAATAATTTGTAATATTATCAGAGACATGGGAACAGAGAAGGTAAAAGTTGTCCGAGAGCTCAGCACCTCCCAGGATGGGAAGCACAGGGGAGCAGTCAAAAGGCCAACTGGGTTGGGCGTGCCAGATGACAGAGGGTGGTGTAGATGGGTGGTGGAGCTGAGCTTCTGTCAGGAATGGAAAGAGACATGATAAGGGTGGCGTGGGAGGAAGGGTCCTGCAGCCAACAGGCCAGCACCAGGGAGGCCCTGCTGCGGCAGTCTTGCTATAAGAATGAAGCTTCCAGAGCAGAGCAAAAAGGACTTGGTACTGCCCACATTTAACCTAAATCAGCAGGGCCAGTTCAGATCCAGAAGAGATTCCAGGTCTATTGTATGGAGGGAAATAATCTATACACACTACCTCTCAGATTCCCCTCCGTGCATACCAATAGACACTGGTTTTCACCAGTGAAGGGGTAAGAAGACTCCACAAATGAAATGTTCTAATATTTACATGGGCAAGAAAAATACTTTTTAAAGGTAAAGGAAATGTGGGGTTGTTAAAGTGTGTGTATTGCTTTCCTATTCTTTTATATTTCTGATAGCTTATATTTTCTCATAAGATATATATATTTTCTGTTTCCTCTTCTATACTATGTATCATATGATGTGTACATGTTAAAATGTGCTCTTCACTGCGGCAAGATTGCATCATCATACACTGCATTAATCTGGGTGTTTCCTCTTATTCAAAAGATCTAAGTTGATTTTAGTTACTTACAGTTTTCACCTGCCATGAATGCAAAATAGAAACAAATTTAACCACTTGTAAATGCTTACTTTGCTACTCATCAAATAATAGCTTGCAGCAGCTTTAGGAGATTTTATGAATCAGCACATTTTCCTTCCAAACAGGTCCCATAAACCTGAAATTCGAGGTCACTCAACTTTTAAACTTGGAACGCTTTGTAAACTTTTAAAAAGAAATTCTTCTTTATTAGTCTTAGGAAATCTAGTCAGAGAATAATATGAAATGAATCTAAGGGAAAGTCTTTCCCTTGATGAAGAGAGAGACGAATGGGAACTCCTACAAAAGCACTGAATTACCCACCGTATTTCAAAGTCTCTCGCAAGTGATTGTAAGAAAAGCAGTGTGGATAAAATTTGGAGACTATTATTCCTAATGATGTTCCCCTTTGAAGTTTGTGAAAGGGCGCCATCTGAGAGATGAGAGAAGCCACTGATAAAATGCAACTGAGGGCACATTTGCTGTCCTCCATTGTAGGTGCTGACGGCCACCCACCACCGTCTGAAGAAGGTGATTTTGGCGGATGACATGCAGGTTCTCCACGACAGAGTAATTGCAGAAAATCTTCAAAGGTACTCGTAGCAAACATTTATCTCTTGCTTAATTAAGCCAAGGCGCTAATTAAAGCTGAGCACCCCATGTCACTTGAAGAGGGACTGTTCCATGGGGAATTGTAAGAAACGGAGGAGCCCTGCACCTTCCTGTAACATTGTCCTCCTTCCTGGATGAGAGAGCTAAAAGGGGCCTTAAATGGGGTGGAGCCATTGCATGGAATTAGTCTTCAGGAATGGCAAAAGAACCGTCTGAATAACGAGTATCTAAAGAATCAGGGGCGCCCAGCTGGCTCAGTCAGGAGAGCCTGCGACTCTTGATCTTGGGGTTGTGGGTTTGAGCCCCACGTTGGGTATAAAGCACTTTATGAACATGTCATGGCTGCTCAGGAAGCTCAGGGGAATTTAGAGCCACAGTGAATGGCAGGCCAGCTCCACCCGGTCACCTACACAGATGTCACCTGTCTTGTTCATAGCTTTGCCTTCACGGTTTCTTGCCTTGGCCAAGTGAATATTAGTGCCAGGGTGTTGTGGGGCCAGGAAGAGTTACAGAGACCCACCTAAGCGATACAACCTTAGTTGCAAAAACATTCTTAGGGATGTTGATTCATATGAGTTTATAGCCCCATGTGTCTCTTCTCATGTGTCAACATTGAAATTTGTTCCCTTCTTCCCCAACCAAACTAATGCAATGGAAACTGTTGAATTCCTGTTGATTTCAAATTGGTGCTCTTCAGAATCATTACCCTTCACTTGCTTTTCATTCTAAGCCTTGTGTTGGCCCAGGTTTTCTTGGTTAAAGTCCTCTAATCACCAAAAAGTTCGTGAACCTCACCCAAAACAAAACGAAATCTTTAGCAGGTCCGGCCTGAATTTCAGGTTTGTCTTTTGAGGACTGATTTATCGAGCTTTTCTTTCTAATACTTATGGAAGTAAGCATTTTGTGTCCACACTACAAATGGCAAGTTTAGCAGGGAAATACCTAGAAGTGTACAGAAGTCTGGGGTTAGTTCCTTGACAGACAATCATGAGCCTTGCCATTTTTTTTCTGTAATTCTCAGTGCTTTGTGTGCAGATGATCTGGGGTATCACCAGAAACATATTGAAGCTGGTTATCCACAAGGTAAATCAAAAATAAGAGAAAACAAGTTGAAGTTTAGGTCTCCTTCCTTCAAAACTCCAAACAGGAAAGGAAATATTCCAAAACAGAAACTAAAAAAAGGTATCTGTTTAGAAATTAGATCAATAAACAGTAGAACTGTGACTTCTTAAGAATTCTTCATCTTCTTGAGTCAGTTCTCCATTTTTTTTTTTAAAGATTTTATTTATTTATTTGACAGAGAGAGACACAGCGAAAGAGGGAACACAAGCAGGGGGGGTGGGAGAGGGAGAAGCAGGCTTCCCGTGGAGCAGGGAGCCCGATGTGGGGCTCGATCCCAGGACCCCGGGATCATGACGTGAGCCGAAAACAGACGCTTAACGACTGAGCCACCCAGGCGCCCCATAGTCAGTTCTCCATTTAATGCATAATTTTACTTTAAGCATTATGTCCTTTTCATTTTTCAGCATATTCTTATTACGAGAAAACAGAAATGTGTTTAATATTGGATCAAGTAAGAATCACTTGCTCACATTTAACACACAAGACGCCTACTCCTTAAAAATCTGTAGGCCCCCTCTGAGAGAAGTCTCCAGCATGCTTTTTCTGTCTTTGGACTGGAAAATTCAGATTCAAAGTCCCACCAAGTGCCAGCTTCAAACTCTCTGCCCTTCCTCATCCATCCCATGAGCTGGATTAGATAGGCAGCTGAGTCACTTTTCACCACATCTGTATTCCTAGATCTACAGTCCTCTCCTCTGGTAAATTCTGTAGAAAGAAATGAGTCCTTTCTGTTTGTGCTCAGTGAGGTTTATAAAATAAGGACCACTTTAATGAGCCTTGGAGCTTCAAAATGCTGCCTTGTGCATTTTTGATTGCCTCTCTGCTCCTGTTATCTGGATATAAAGTTCATTCATTTAATATTTTTCCAGCTTTAAGAACTGCTTACCTGCAGTTCATTGAACTTGGCATCACCTCCAAAGTACATAACACGAGAAACAGAACGAGGAGATGTTATAAGCAAAACACAGAAGCTGCCTAAGCATCTCTTGATGCTTAGGCCAGTTGCCTCATCCAATTGCCAGAAGATTCTCTCTTGGTCCAAGGAAAGATAGATTGTGTTCACATACCATAAGACAACAAAAGGACAATTAAATTTCACAGCTTGGGGGAGATTGTGGGAGTTCTTGGCAAAAATGTTCACACCTGTGAAACAGACCGTTATTTTTTGTGGAGCCTGGTTTTCAGCTTGAAATACACCTGCCAAAATCTGAATGGCTGCTATTGTACATTCTGGACTCAAAAACTGCGCTGTCAGACAAGGTTTGGGGCACACAGATGGGATAACTTAGAACAGCGGCTATGTTGTTTGTAAGGAAATTAAGACCTTTCCTAGCCCTGTTGATGCCTATTTAGGATGGAAAATTTTATCATAACCATGTCTTGGCTGTGCCTCCCTGGCACTTTATTTTTTTTATATTACCTTAATAATTTAAGTGATACTCAATGCCTTAATTTAAATTTAAGAGATTTTTTTAATTGTCCATGGACTGTAATAGTAAACTACATCTTTTCAAGGGATCAACTCCAGACTTAGACCCAAAAAACTGCTAAAATTATCTCTGTCTGTGTATCCACCGGGCATTTAAAGCTTGCTGTGGAATATAAATAGCTGAATTTGGGGGTGCTAAGAAGCCGACTCCTTTCCCTTCTGATCATTCTCGCCCTTAACGTTTCTCATTACACATCCTAGTGTCAGTTAAAATAATGTATTTGTTGTAAAACAATATAATAGTGATCCAATATGAAATTTTTTTGAGGTAAAGCATACACACACTTAACTCCAGCCCATTAAGTTTTTTGTATATGAATATATGCAGTGAGGAATCATAGAAAATTGCCACTATTTGACTATTTTGACCTACAAAAGCAGCAATTTCATATGATACTACCTAATATTTTATATAATTGGAAACTCAGAGAATACGCAATTTTATTCTGATTCTTTTCACACTGTTGTAGCAAAACAATCTACAGTTTCTGCAGTGTCTTCATAGTTCATTAGTTTGAATTGGGGCATCCTTCTCTATTACACAGATGTGGAGCATATTAAGTGGATTTTGCTTTTTTCCTGTAAGAGATAACGCTCAAAAAAACCTAACCTGCACCTTCCTTCACACAGCCGTTTTATTTAGTTGCCTTCTAATGCCAGTTTTGAAACTAATGTCTTCTCCTGCGTCCCGTCCTTTCATGCCTCTGAAACTAAATACTTTCACATGTGGGTCATCGATACAAATCTAAGTGATAAAGCAAGTGCTAGTATGCACAAGCGTACCAGTGTGCACAAGCGTACCAGCGTGCACACATGCATACACATCGTTAAATGGATCTGTTTAGACAGTACATCCTCAAATTTGTGCTGAAAGAAAACACCAAGCTTCAGTAGGGTGAGAAACATTGCGCCCATCAGCCTGTGCCACCTTTCGCTGGCTTTTCTCCATTTTCATCAGACTGAATGAGACCTGTCCCAGCAGATGGTCCTCTCAGTATGCTTTGGCTGCCCAGAGAATAGAGCTTTGTCTAATATGGCGAGGAAACACACTCCGGGGATATTAACCAACCAGAGCAAAACCCTTTGCTCTCGCCATAATGATACGTTCAGGCAGGAAGTTAAGAGGAAAATAGCTACTCCCCTGGGAATGAGGAGGGGGAGGGAGGGGAGCAGTTTAATTATGATGAGGGTGGGGGCGGGGAAATGGGGACAGTCACAAGTGGAGATCAAGAAAAAAGAATGGGATGATGTCATTCTTTACTGGGACAGTCACTGAAATGAAATCAGGTCACACACAATGGTCTTGTTCTATGCCTGCAACCATAAGTGTTACAAGAGATTACTTTGTGGCAATCCTTGTTAGGAAGGGTCTCAGGGCCATGCTCACATTAAGATATCCCCCAAGACATCTTTAAGATGGGTAAGAAGGACAGAATCATCCCATCCAGTGCTGAAATGACCCACACGAAGTGCACAACATTTGTTTTAAGATCACTAAGCCACAGTTTAGGAGAGAAAAAGTGTGGATCCTCATAACAGTGAATTTTAAGAAGCAGGATGCAACTCCACAGCTTGGTTTCAGGCAAGATGTTTTAAATTGATTCCCTTTCTCATAGGATAATTTTGAATGGCATTTTAAAGTTAAGGCAGAATATATTTCTCAGTATCAAGTTGCATTTTCTGAAAAGAAATACTGCCTTGTACTATGTTAGGGCATTTTTAGGACTGATTAACTCTGCTTACATAGGAAGCATTTGATTTGTGTCGATGTTGAATCCCTAGAGCGCTGGTGGCAGATGTATTCAAATTTAGGTTCCTTCTCTCAATGATGTCCTAATTTAACCTCATTCATCTGCTTCGATTTCACAAGAGGGCATCACAATTACAAATGAAGGTTAGATTTTTTAAGAAGTCATCCCTGGAATAATTAGGTGATAGGGTCAAATCCTGTTATTAAGATTCAGTTGTGATTGCATTATAGGGCTTAAAACAAATAAGTCATTGACTGAGGCTTTTTTTTTTTTTTAGAACATCTTTGCTGTGCGAGTATTTACCATAGTAGAACTGAAACACTGTAGGCTTTTTACATTCATATCTGCAGGGTACAGAATTTACAAAATGTAATGTTCAATTTTGGTAAACCACTGGTCTTCAGGCGCATGTGTATATTCAGGGACAAGGTCCTTCTCTCTTTTGTAGACTTTACAAAAATGTAAAAGTAAAATTAGATTGCAGTGAGAATTCATATTTGCTTTATGATTTTGCCTTCAAATTACTAGGGAATCTTGCATGGTCATCTCGGGTGTAGGGGAAGTGGTGATAATATACGTGACAAATGTGTTTGAAAGTTGCTGCGGATTGTGGCTATTA